GAGCAAGCACGAAACTAGAAGAGAAAATGGGTCTGTTTTTCAGTGCATTCTCATTGAAGGAAAGGCCTTAAAAATGAATCCAAATACATTAATGAGAAATTTGTGAGGACAGCTGCCGACGCTAGTCAACTCAGCCCTCCGCAACCTCACGGCTACTGCTTCGTTGAGAATTACATAGGATTTGCCAGATAGATTTCTGACAAACTCATGTTGTCAATGATAATCTGGAGGGTGCTAGGCCTTTTTTCTTTCTTCCTTTCCTCTTTTTTTTAAACTTTACATACATCTGCTCAAAATATCTAGATTTGGTGGCCAATTACAGAATACTTTTCACAGAAATCTGGTGAAATAATGTCGTTTTTTAACACTCGACTCACAGCTATGGCCTCAAATGATTAGACATGCAATTCTGAACTTGATTTATGGAAGATGGAGGCCAATTCTCTGTCCCTGGGCCTGAATGCTGGGATGGCAGAAACCAATACTGGAAAAATTTGGCTTTCCAAGTAGATGAGGGTGATTAATGGAGAGGTTCTTCTCAAATACGGCTCTCAAGAGTAAGCTACTATGCTCCCTGAAGCTGAAAAAAGGAATATGGGGGCTGATTATTCCTAGCACCAAATAAATGATTACAGAACCAGGTTTGAATTTCACCATTGTGATAGGTAAAGCAAAACAATAAAAAAACCACACAGACTTAATGAAAAGAAAATAAAAACTCTATATACTGAAAGCAAAGATGAGTTTGTCTGAGGACAGTAATTCACGGATAAATCCACTGGGAGCAATTTAAATAAAAGGAAAATTAATTTAAGTGGTTTTCGTTTTTTGATCTAACAAGAAATAAATCAATATTTTGCTCATTCACTTTAAAAATTATGAACAGAGAGCAAAACTCCACTAAGAATGAAAAAACAAAATCAGCAAACTAAATACAAGCTAAAATCACAGTACATAAGTAGATTTCAATTACTAGATGATATCTTAAAAGCTTTCAGAAATGCATCTTGATTTTATATCACAACCATTTGGGTCGAGGGCATCTGTGAAAACGGGCAGTGCATGGTGAAGCCAACACAATGAAAAAGACAGCTGTGCAGCACACACAAGTACCCAAGTGATAAGGAATCAGATCAAGTCATGAGAACAAAAGGACGAAGATATACTGAGAGAGAGAGAGAGAGAGAGAGAGACAGAAAGAGCAAGACAGACATGTATAAACACATGAAAAGACAGGGCAGAAAAGGAGAGCTAGAAAGACAAACATTTTCTTGTTTGTTTCATAGATAGTTCTTGAGGCAAAAACAGATCCAGAATGATGGGAGAGGCAGACAGGAGAAGCTCTGTAGGTCTTTGACCTTGGCCAGGTAAACCCTTGCCGTTGACTGAAATTGTAAAAAATTGTTTCCTTTTTTGGGGGGAGGGGGTAGCTACTAAGCACAAAAGCACCAGAGGGAGGAATAGACTCCTTCCCCTCTAAGGACTTGTTTATTTTTTTATTTTTAAAAATATTTTATTTATTCATGAGAGATACAGAGAGAGAGAGGCAGAAGGAGAAGCAGGCCCCATGCAGGGAGCCTGACGTGGGACTTGATCCTGAGACTCCAGGATTGCGCCCTGGGCTGAAGGCGGCGCTAAACCTCTGAGCCACCAGGGCTGCCCTCTAAGGACTTGTTTAAAAGGTGAATTGGGCACATGAGTGAACTATCTATGGGCTTCAACATTCTTTAAAATGATGAACTAGCTGGGAATTTAAAACGGACCTTTCTGCAGTGGCAGGCAGGAGTTCTGCTTTAACTTTTCAGTTCAGATTATAAAGGTTTTACAAAGTTATGAAGAAATACAGAACTTTCCTTTTGCACCTTCAGAGGTCAGAGGCATAAATAACCAGGAGGGGAAATCTCTTTGGTATGCAAAGTTGCTTGGCGGCCTAATATTTGTTCTTGGAGAAATCAGTCTTGCTTCATTACCTGGTATCTGGGAGATATTTGAAACCATCTCTTACTTTTTTCTTTTTAAAAATTCAGTGCTTGTTTGGCTCAGTTGGGTCTTAGTGGGAAAGCATGATCAAAACAAAATTATAACATCTTCTACCTCACACTCCCCAAAACACAACTCTTGAAAAAAACCCTACTTTTTAAATAAATAAATAGCTTCCATTAAGACCTACAACCAGAGCAGTGCTGCCCATTAGAAATATAAGGTGACCCATATTTTAAATTTTGCGGAGGGAATAATATTCTAAAAAGGTTAAAAGAGAAAATTAATTTTAATAATACATTGTATTTAACACAATACATGTAAAATATCACTTCAACATGTAACCAAGACATAATTTATTAATGAGATATTTGCATCATTTTTTTCATCCTAAGTTTTTGAAATCAGAGCATATTTTATACTTGTGGCATATCTCAATTTGGAGAAGCCACACACATCAAGCGCTCACTGGTCACAGGGTTACCATATTGGACAGCAACGATTTTAACTGCTGTTTCTCTGTGGACTGTGTATCCCTTCCTATTGTTAGTTCTACCCAAAACCCAACCAGAAGATGACAGTAAGATCGAAAAGGCAACTTTTGCTTTCTAAAGTCCCCTTCATACTGTGTTGTTTTAAGTGGCCTTGAAGTGTTTACCTTTTGGGCATTAAGAAAGCAAATTTAGGTGTATATATGGACTAGAAGGGTACAGCTTCCTTACTTAGAAGTTAAGAAGGGGGACACCTGGGTGGCTCGGCAATTAAGCCGCTGCCTTCGGCTCAGGGCGTGATCCTGGAGTCCTGGGATCGAGTCCCATATCCGGCTCCCTGCATGGAGCCTGCTTCTCCCTCTGCCTATGTCTCTGCCTCTCTCTCTCTCTCTCTCTCTCTCTCTCTCTCTCTCTCTCTCCGTGTGTGTCTGTCATGAATAAATAAATAAAATCTTGAAAAAAAAAGAAGAAAGAAAATTCCTGGTGGGAAATAATGGCTACAGAAGTCTACCCTGCCCTGCACTCAAGTGGGGTGAGTAGACTTGTCTCAATGTATTTCTTGTACCCTATGTATCCCTCTATCAAGCATTTGCCACTATAGACTCTATGTTCCCCGAGGGTGCATATTATTACCTATCTCTGTCTCTCCAACACTTAGAAAAGTTCTGGCACATAACTGGCACTCAATAAATGCATGAAAGGCAGATAAATTAAATACATAGTTTTTCATTTGCATTAGACACATTTCAAGTGCTCCATAGCCACACATGCTACTGGCTACTGTATGGGACAACACAGATATAGAACATCTCCATCATCACCTAAAGTTCTGTAGCCTCGTTCTAGAGCAATGGGCAGAAATACGATTTGACTGGTTAGGTGATGGAGGTCCCTAGAGAAAAAAAAACTTTTTTTTTTCCGTGAGCAAATAAGAATACCAGTGATAGGAAATGACAAAGAAAGAAGTGAAAGCACAAATAGGTATGTATCTTACACCCTAGAAAGTCCAGATGCAGCATCATTATGGTTTCCACTGGAAGAAGAGACTTGGCTATATCTTTCTCCCTGAGCTTCTGCCTCCCTCTTATGATTTTCCTACCTAAGAAAGAAACCAGGCACATTCCCCACAAGTGCCCCAAGACTCTTACTCTCAAGCCAAAATATCTAATGAATGCTTTCCCTTATTTTCTGAGATAAGTCAGCAATTTCAAAAGAAACTTAATACAAAAATCCAAGAAAAAGCAATGAAGTACCTGAAGAAGAAATTTACCATTCCTTTATCTGAAAATAGATTCCACTGGCTGAAGGGCTAGCATAATTCTGTAGGCACATTGGCTGCATCCCTTCCTTCTCAGCCAGGAGGCCTCTGGGGTATTATCTTGGTTCCTGGCATACAGTAATTGATCCATCTAAATATCTTGTCTCCTTCCCCATTTAAGGACACCTCTTAAGAGCACTTCATTTGATTTTAAAAAACAACATTTCCCTGTTTCTAACACTGTAGCCTACTCTCAGTTTCATACTGAGATCTGAGAAACATGCCTAATTAGAGTTGACTTAGAGAACTGATGACTCCCACCCTTAGCTCTAGTGAATGATCTGGACCTTGGTTCCCTTGCCTAGCTGAGGATCAGGATTTTCTGAGGAACTTTTCCAAAGTTCTAATTCATGGGCCCCACTCCAGACTTCTGAATCAAATCTCTGGCAGTCAGGCCTGGGGATCTTTATTCTTAACAAGCATGCTAGGGATCCCTGGGTGGCGCAGCGGTTTAGCGCCTGCCTTTGGCCCAGGGCGCGATCCTGGAGACCCGGGATTGAATCCCATTTCGGGCTCCTGGTGCATGGAGCCTGCTTCTCCCTCTGCCTGTGTCTCTGCCTCTCTCTCTCTCTCTCTCTCTCTCTCTCTCTCTCTCTCTGTGACTATCATAAATAAATAAAATTTAAAAAAAAAAGCTTCTCACAAAAATTTATAAAAAAAAAAAACAAGCATGCTAAATGAAAATGACAAATTCCATCTCATTTAGGGATTATTGATCTGTTTGCTCCTTACTTGAATAGTCAACTCTGCCCCCCTCTGGACTATTCAGTAAGGACTTTCCCTGCCCCTACTCTGTCAAACTCTTTACAGTTTGACAATGAAACCGGATCTTAAGCATAACATCCATACAGATATAGGGGAGACAGGGATAAAGGGGATTTTCATACAAGTTAGAGGTTTAAAAATAAATAAATAAATAAATAAATAAATAAATATCTTTATACATGTAAAAAAAACAAGTTAGAGGTTTTTATAACCCTACTACTTTTCCAGGGAAATCAGTGTGAATCTTCTAACTATATAGGATTAAAATGTCCCTAAACAATTTGTTCTTGGCTCAACATTAGTGCAGATTCCAGCAGGATGTGTTCCTCGATTAATTAACACTCTGTCAGCTAGAAAGACCAATATTGAGAGAACATAAATATAACCTAGGCTATTACTGAATCTGAATGTATATCTCTGGTGCTTATCTTTCAATAATCACTTACCCTTGACCTATTTTTTCAAATCTTGTGTATTTTTTCTTTGGGTCACCGACACTCACAATGCTTCCTGAATTTGGGGGGGTGGAGAGAAGAAGAGAGAGAGAGATTTAAATTGATTGGTTGATTTCCCTTTATTTCATACTAAAAATTACAATGCTAGAGTCAATGACAAATAAAACACTGAAGCAATATTCCCATGCAATTTCTATAATTTATATGGCTAATAATACATTTTATTAAAGTAACAAACAGTAATATATTAATTAAAGTAGTAGTAATAACCCATGCTGCTTTTATTTTTTTTCCATGCTGCTTTTATAGTCAAAATTGATGATGTTTGAAAAACAAAAAGGACTGGACACAACTCAACATTTAAAAAAGTTCCCAAAAAAAGGATACTGTAGATTTGGAGATAAAAACATCTAAGATCTTATATGCACTATTTAATAAAATCACTATCTTGCCTGAATCAGAGCAAAATTGAGCACTACACTACATTTAGTTCTGCTGGACAAGTACCTCTTCAGCAATTACCACGAACCCAGTACTGTGCTAAGGGTGATGGGGTCTAATAAAGAACAAAGTTGAATCATAAAGTAATGGGACTCATGCTTTCTGAAAACCTACATCCTCAAACCCAGGAGCCTACCTGCACTCCATGTATTTTTTAACAACTTTACTGGAATATGATTTGCACACCATAAAGTTCACTCATTTGAAGGGTACAATTCTGGCACCCCGGGTGGCTCAGCGTTTTAGCACCACCTTCAGCCCAGGATACGATTCTGGAGACCCGGGATGGAGTCCCACGTCGGGCTCCCTGCATGGAACCTGCTTCTCCCTCTGCCTGTGTCTCTGCCTCTCTTTCTCTCTCTCGTGAATGAATAAATAAAATATTTAAAAAAATAAAGGGTACAATTCATCAGTGCTCCCATATATATGAAGCAAACACCGACCAAAGTGAAGGGAAGTATCGACAGCAACATAAAAATGGTTGGCAACTTTAATAGCTCACTTTCAATAATGGATTGAACAACCAGAGAGATCAACAGAGAAATGGAGGATGTGAAAAACACTCTAGATCCACTGGAGCTAACACATATACAGAAACGCTTCACCCACCAATTGAAGAATACACATCCTTCTCCAGTGCATATGGAACATTCTCAGGGTAGACCACCATTTGCTAAGCAAAACAAACCTTAGCAAATTTTACAGGATTGAAATCGTATAAAATGCCTTTTCTAATCATAATGGATATAAACTAAAAATCAATAACAGAAAGATGATTGGAAAATTCCAAGATAGTTAAATAAAACGTGTGAAAGAAGACACTTCAAGAGAAATTTAAAAATAGTTTGAACTAAATTAGAATCAAATACAACCTATCAAATTGCTTGGGATGCAGCAAAAGCAGTGCCAAATATTTTTGATAAAAAGGAAAAAATCAAGTGTACAATGCAATGGCTTTTAGTAAATTATTTGAGTTGTGCAAATTTATTAAATTTCACCATGGTCTAATTTTAGGACATTTTGGTCATCCCAGAAAGAAACCTGTACCTGTTCGCAGTCACTCTTCATTCCCTACCTGTGCCTGCACCCCACCCCTGGCTTTCCAACCCATTCCTAGGCAACGATCAATCTACTCTGTGTTTCTATAGACTGTTCTAAACATTGTAGAGTAAGGTCATAAGCAAGAAAAACATTAATTTATCATGTGTGGCTCTGGGGGAAAAAAACATTGGTTTTGTTAATTCAAAATAACAAGTCCTGTACTCAGAGGATGAATCCTTGCCACCACTCAGGACATATCTGAAATAAGTGCCATTGACTCTTCAACGCAGTGCTCAAATAGGTGCAGAAAAATTCCAGGCCACAGCAGCATCATGGGAATATGGGTTCAGCTTCTCAAGTGGACTGCCTTGAAGGGAATCATTTATTTGGATGCCTGTGGCTCTCCCTTCCTTTTTTTTTTTTTTTAAAGCAAACATATCAGTATCACTACCTTTGAGTTATATCTTACTATCATGGCTCCTGTTCTAAAGAAGCATAGAGTCAGTAGGGTAAGATTTACACCATGAACTAATCAAGAGAAGGTCTGTAGATTCTACCTTCTCATTGTTGCTCTTATTCATTCCCTCTTCTTCATGCCATGGCTACTGCCATAGCTCCAGGCCCTTGACATTTCTTGTCCAAACAATTGCACTAGTAATTACCTACCTCAACACTCTACCTTCTCTATCTTCTGCAACACTTTTGGAATAGGGTAACCATGTAATTCCCAAAACCAAGACTTTTCCTGGGTAAACTGAGATGTATAGTCGTCCTACTTCAGAGTGATTTCACTCATAATTGTGATTTCTCAAAAGTTCCTCCTCGCTACAAAATCAAGTTCAAATTTCTTAGTCTGGCATAGAGGGCTCTTTACTCTCTACCACCAACCAATCCCTACCTAACCATACTAATCTCATGTAATTCCTCTACTCCTCATCCCTCCTACTTTAAGTCCCAGTAATGCTATCACTATCCAAGGCTTAGGTCTTTGCAGATGCTCCCCCTTTCCCTTTCCTGGCTAACCCACGAATTCCTATTTATTAAACATTATCTCAAGTCATCCTATTTTGTGAATTATTCTCTCATCCCTCTGAGATTCTTATGTTTCTTCTTGAGGGGAGGAACCTTGTCTTTTCATTCAAGTAACTTTAGTGCCTAGAATAACAGCCATCACTGAATAGGTATTTGTTGACCAAATAAATGAGGACAAGAAAGTATGTATTCAAGTGCTAAACTGTGTGCTACAAACAATACCTGGTGTTGATTCAGAACTACCAGTAGATGGTATATTTTGAATTAAAAAAAATAAATGTTTCAGTCCTGGGGGCACCTGGGTGGCTCAGTGGTTGAGCATCTGCCTTCCTCTCAGGTCATGATCCTGGGGTCCTGGGATCGAGTCCTGCATCAGGCTCCCTGCAGGAAGCCTGCATCTCCCTCTGCCTGTGTCTCTGCCTCTCTCTCCGTGTCTCTCATGAATAAATAAATAAATAAACTCTTTAAAAAAATTTCAGTCCTGTACTGTTCATCAAGTTGTTAGATTTGTTGTTGCTGTTGGTAGTGGTGGTTTGTTTTTTACAACAGTAGTCCATGTTTCAGTGAAGTTAAATAAGACATATACAATACGTGAGTTGTTATAATTCTTTTTCTCTTGCATTTCCAATCTCAGTCCATGGTACTGTTATCTGTCTACTCAGTAGCCAGAGTATGAAATCTGGAAGTCACCTCTGTCTCATCTCTCACCTTCACTACCCCCACGCAGTTGTCCACCAAGTCCTGTGCTTATATCTGTTCACCTCCTAGAGACCTTCTCATTTTGTCCCTTCCTTGTGACTACTATTCTAGTTGGGCCCTCATCATTTTTTGTCTGGGCTATCCCAACATCCTCCTAATTGCACTCCCAACTGCCAGCCCCTTCATACTCTAGTCCAGACTCCACACCTCTCTCTGGTAGGATGCTGTTAAGTGCAAACCCGATCATGAGATTCTCTGGTTTAGGAGTCCTCGATGGCTCTCCCAATGCCTACAGGGTAAAGCTAAACTCCTTGGCATGGAGTACAAGGCTCTTCATATCTGACTCTTGTTTTATTCTCCATCTCTTATCCACCCCTTCCCCACTAGACCTTCATTGCTTTGACCATAACAAATGGCAGCTCATGAACAGCTAGCTCTTGCTTGACAGTTGAGCTTCTTCTCTTATGACTCCAGTCCCACCACCTACCACCAATTCTATATTCAAGTGATGTTGAATAATTTAGCACTCCTAGACATATGCCTTCATACCTTCTATACTTACTATTCTCTTGCCTGGAATGTCCTTCTTAAATTTCCAAGTTCCTATTTATGCTTCAATTCAGCTTCAATGGTGCCTCTTCAAGGAAGCCTTCCCTGATTTTTTGGAATAAAGTTAATAATTCCTGTTCTCTATACTACTGTATCTTCTCTCTCTCTCTCTCTCTCTCTCTCTCTCTCTCTCTCTCTCTCTCCTTTGCACTTACTCTGCTTCTCTACACTTAATACACCATGTACCCATCTCTACATATTTGACATCCTGTTATAGATTGTGTCTTAAAGACAAAAGTCAGGTCTCATTCATTTCTGTATCCTCAGTACCTCCTCAAACAATGTTATGTGAGAAATACACGAATTACTCAATAAATGTCTGTTGAATTGAACTCAAATAAAATTAGGCATTTCCTTTGGTAAATGCCCCATATTTTAAGACAGGGGTTGGAGAATGTATTTTAATTGAGTTATGACTATAGAATGCCACCAATTTAACAATTTCTGAATTGCCACTTCATCTTTCAAATTGTCTTATAGATTTCTACATCACTGAGAACCGTTCTTACTCAAGTCAGCTATTAATGGATAGGGGCCTGGACACGACGACTACTATTACTACTACTTCTTTGTCGTTGTCATTGTCGTTGTCTTCTTCTTCTTCTTCTTTTGTAACAAACTGACAATTTTAAAGTCCCTTGAAACCATTGTTTTATTAAGGAGCTTATAGTCTTCTAAGAAAGTTCTACTATTAAGTTGCTGAGCAAATTCTTTTCCATATTCTGAATAAAAGCAAATAAGCTTTAGCCCAAGCCACTTTCTGAATTATGACCAATTTCAATTGGCAGGGTTCAGTCAATGAGGTTTTGTGGTAGTAAATTACTCAACCTTTATTTCCTTGGAATGCAGAGTTAAAAAAAAAAAAACAACCTGGAAATAAATCCTTTCATGAGGATTACCAAAAGACAACCATTTTGATGAGCTTCTGCCTCTGAATTTAACTGCTGTACAAATAAAATGGCGTCTCCACGTCCACTATCCTTCACAGCAGAGGGTGTGCTGCCATCTACTGATCTAAGGCAAATGCACAGGAGGTCTTGTTTACAATTCCCAATCACAAAATAAGCTTTTCAAATGACCTGTTTCATCAGGACCATTGTAATTTGTTTTTATAAATTACATGAAGGGGGATCCCTGGGTGGCGCAGCGGTTTGGCGCCTGCCTTTGGCCCAGGGCGTGATCCTGGAGACCCGGGATCGAGTCCCACGTCGGGCTCCCGGTGCATGGAGCCTGCTTCTCCCTCTGCCTATGTCTCTGCCTCTCTCTCTGTGACTATCATAAATAAATAAAAATTAAAAAAAAAATAAAAAAATTTATAAATTACATGAAGGAAACGGGGAGAAGCCACCATGACACAATAGTAGAAAACAGTGACAAGAGGCAGCAACTCAAAATCAAAAGGGGGGAAAATAGCAATGCAAGAACAATTTCCTACCGGGGCAATTTGTTCAATAAGAAACCAACTATTCATTTAAAAGTGTAAGGATTTAAGAAATGACTAAATAGAAGTATTTGAAAATAGGGTTCATGATGCAGTTTCAGTGGCAGAAGAGTCTATCAGTGTCTCTTCCTACGTATGAAAACTAAGTTGAACTCTGATCATTAAAAGGATTCCTTTAGCGCACTGAGAAAGTTTTGATTCCTGAGAAAAAGCAAAATAATTCTCTAAATTAGTATTAGTCCTATCTGAGGGGGAAATTAGAAGAGTTCTGAGTGGAGAATGCTGGAGAAAGGGAGGGACAAAAAGAGGAGGTGACTGTGGGACCCAAGACAAATTTCCTGCCTAGCACCATTTTGCTGACAGCGCCTTTTGGAAATTTTCTCTAAAATGTAGGGGTTTCTTTATTTTCCAACAGATTCAGACAGACCACAATGAACAAGCCAGACTCAGGCTATCTGTCTGTATAAAACTGAAATATGATCTGTTTATTTCAGCTATTAATGATCCCATGGTCTGGCCCCCACAATCAGCATTTGCATGGAAGAGGAGTAGCTTGGCGGCTCTGAGGTCTGGGCTTCCCAACTCACAGTAATGGGATCTCTGAGCCTAGGATGATGCTGCCCTCTCCTCTTCACCATGATTATGGTGGGGTCCACTTGGGTATGGGATGTAGGCTATTGCTCTACCTCTGTCTCTTATCTTCCTCTCTTCTGCCTCTCAGTGCAGGCTCCTTTACTCCTTCCCCGAACTCCAACGGGGGCCTTGATTCACTCGATGACTTTCGTATAGGAACCATACATCTTGGCTTATTCCTGATTTCAAATATTGTGTCCCACTGGAAGACTCCACTTTTTTATGTTGCAAGATATGGTTGCTCTCATTTGGCAAAAATTACATAATAAATTTATACTACTATGTACTGTGCTAGGTGCCTTACATACTTTATCCCATTTAGTTCTCGTGAAATCCCTATCACATTGGTAGTAATATTATGTCCACTTTTCAAATGAAGAAACTGAAATTCAGAAGAGTTGAGTGATTGGCCTAAGGACACACAGCTAGTCTGGGCCTATGACTAAGACTCCCTTATGATTCATTACAAAGCCTGGCCTAGTGTGTTATCTTACTAAGGCTTTATACTCACGTAGTCATCACCATTTACTGAGCACCTACTGTGTACCAGGGACTGTGGCTGCAGTTTTTATATGCCCTATTCTCATTTAATTATTATTATGCTATGAGGTTGGTACTATTAATATCTCCACATATAAAAATATATATAATAAATTATATATTTATAAAATAAATATATATAATAAATATATATGTGTGTGTGTATATATATATATGTGTATATATATATTTTTTTTAGGTGAGGAAAAAGAGGTCAAGGAAAGTTAAGTAACTTGCCCAAGAAACACAAGCAAAGGGCTTGTCATTTGAATACGGGCCTTTCTGACTCCAATACTACTCTTAGTCATAGTTTGAGCTATATAAAATCTATCTTATTGAGAGAGTGCAGTTATGATTCTTATCTCTGTCAGACAGATAAGAAACTGAGGCTCAGAGGGGTGAAATAAATCGTCTGATGTCATACAGTGAATCTGTGGCAGAGAGAGAGGGCACACAGAAGGTGCACCCACAGAGGTGCAGCAGAAGCAGGAAAGACTCACTTTGTAGACTTGATGGTATAGCTTGCCTGGACCTGCTTCATGAAAAGCACTCCCCCACTTTTCTACAGGTTCTCCCTGTCAAGATCTGTAAGTGTGAGGTTAGGCTGGCAGTTACAGGTGGCTTACTGACTGGAGAGAAAATGAGTCTCCGGAGGCCCGAGCTTTCTCCACTGGAGAAGAAAACACCCAATTCTTAATTTAAAATGTAATCAAAGGCACTTTTCTCCTCTTCATCATGTTGCTCAGTGCAGGGCAGAATAAACAAGCAATGAGAGAGACCATGGATCTAGCACCGCTAGGATTTGCAAGCAAAGCCAGATTTTGGCCCAAGAGAAGAATGCTTCTCTGTCAGTGAATGTAAGAAAAGCAAAATTGCATTTTCGTTTTAACAAATCGATTGGGATTTGAAACATACCCATAATAGTCATTGTTTTAATGAAAGCAACACTGTTAGAATTTTATTTTTTATCCTATTTTGTTTTTTATTTTTTTAAAAATTTATTTTTTTCATGACAGAGAGAGACAGAGAGACAGAGACAGAGACATTGGCAGAGGGAGAAGCAGGTTCCATGTAGGGAGCATGATGTAGGACTCGATCCCAGGATTCCAGGATCTCATCCTGGGCTGAAGGAAGGTGCTAAACTGCTGAGCCACCCAGGTGTCCCTGATTTTTAGAACCTAATACAATCTCATAGGTCATGTCTACATGGACAAAATAAAGAAAAAAATTGAGGTAACTGTCTGAATAACTGACAGAAATTATCCAGGCAATTCTTTCTTTTTTCCTTCTCTTTTCCATATAGAAACAGTTGGGGATACACAGAAGCAAAGTGCGTAATGGAACTAGTGTCACACCTTTGAAGCAAACAGATTTGAGTTCACACTGCCACTCATTAGTTTCGTGATCTGGTCATTTTAGCATTTTGAGGCTTACTTTCACTGATCTGTAGAATGAGGATATTGAAATCTAATGAAAGGTATTATTCTGAAAATTAAACCTCATGGTGTATGTAAAGTGGCCAGCACAGAAAGTGCTCAATAGATGCGAACTATTACTACTGTTATTCGCACTAGAGTCATATTTAATCACATAGAGTCAGTTGGCTGAAGTCTCAGTGAACTCAGTTCCAAACACTCACTCCCAGCTGCAGCCCGGACCTTTGCCTTTCCAAATACCTTTACCCCAGAATGTCTCAACCTCAACACTGCTGACATTCTGTGTTAAAGAATTCTTTGTCACAGAGGGGAAAGGAGGGGGTTGTCCTTAGCATTGTGAACATTTTAGAAGCATCCCTAGCCTCTATCCACTAGATGCCAGCAGCACTCCCTGTGCTCAGACTATAAACATGTCTTCAGGCATTGCCAAATATTTCCTGAAGGGCAAATCGGCCCCACCACCACCTATGCAGAGTCTCCCTGTGGCTCTCTTCCTTTCCTGAGGTCTTTTAGTTGGAAATTTGCATGAAACAAGACAGCTTCCTGTTCTCTAGTTGTATGACATTACTGAAATTTGTCATCCAAATAAAATTGTAAGTTTCTTGATGGTTGGAAATTGTTTTTCTATGGTTTCCTCCAAAGATTCTTGCATAGAACATATGAGGAGAGACTCAGTCAAAGTACATTTGTTTTGCTCGTTTTTTCATTCATTCGCTCAAAAAGCATGTGTTTTTATGAAGCACTTTATCAGAAGCTGGACATAAAGGAAAAGGAGACTCAGTCCCTTCCCTTGAGAAGCTCACAAGTCTAAGGGAAAGAGATCGGACTAGTGTGGTGTGATTTGCTACCATAAAGGCAGTAGAGAGAATAGCCCTTAACTCAGACTGGGAGGGGCAAAGAAGGCTTTCCTGAGAAGGTAACTTTTGAGTTGGGTTTTGAAGGATGAATAGGAGTCAGTGAAGGATGAATAGGGGCACTGATTGCAGATAACTAGAAATTTGTTAGATGTTTCTGTAGTATGAGTTTAATAAATATGCTTCACAGACCTTTGACTCCTTTCAGCAATGTATTTTTCTTAAATCTCCTTGGCTCAGAAAGCTAACTGAAAGAGGACTATTTCATGAAACTGGAATGAGTGTGTGTGCACACGATGTACACAATATGATACCGTGGGAGGGAGGTTGCTAGCATTTGCTGGCTCTGCCCCCCTTCTCCACATAGAAATACTCCTAAATTAAGAGAAAAGATGGTATTACTGTGCTTGCTGGTTTTGATTGACTGTGTTGGGCTTTGAGGTTGACTTGTCTATCATGATTGATCAGTTGGGAGACCTTGGGAGATGATCAAAAGATATATCATCAGATTATTTTATTCCTTTCAGAGTGTCATCTTAAAATAAAACTCACTGTTTAATTATTGTGTCAAATTTTCACCTTAATTGACTTTTTCAAGTGAAAATACTTAGTTTCTGTCAGACTCGTAGTGTGGGGGAAGGAGTGATCTGGAATACACAGCAAGTTCAAACCTTTACACCTTTTGACTTCAGGAAGCCTGGAGTTTATGCAAGGAGGCCCAAATTTTAAAGGCTTGGTTCCAATTTTATTTATTTATTTATTTTTATAAAGATTTATTCATTTATTCATGAGAGAGAGAGAGACAGAGAGAGAGAGACAGAGAGAGAGACAGAGACATAGACAGAGGGAGAAGCAGACTTTTCTCAGGGAGCCCGATGCAGGACTCAATCCCAGGATCACAACTTGAGCTGAAGGCAGCCACCCAACCACTGAGCCACCCAGGCATCCCTCGGTTCCCATTTTAAATGGTTTATGAGACCATCCTATGAAGTAAGTAACAATGGCAAAAACAAAACCAAAAAACAACCAACTCACTTAGCTTTTCTAGGATCTCCTCGTCTGTCATCTTGGATTTTTTCCGTTGCCGATCTGTGTTTCTATACAAAGTACTGGAATTGGCATTCTCAGCAGAAGGTGGTGTGGCCTCTTTATTTGGTGCTGCTGGTGAAGCTATGGATTCCAGCACAGAGCGGGTGTAGATCTTAAAGATAAGGGAAAAAGTTCTATGATGAAAACAATAGGCCAAGCCTAGATGCTGCCATGTCAATGAGGTTTTATTTTGTAAATTAAGACAAAATTTTAAAGCAGTTTTAGGTTCACAGTCAAGTTGAGAGGAAGGTACAGATTTCCCATCTACACCCTGTGCCCACGCATCATAGCCTCCCCCACTATCAACAACCCCCCAACCTCAGAGTGGGACATTTGTTACAAGTGATGAACCAACACTGATGCGTCATAAACACCCCAAGTCCATAGTTTACACACAGTTCACTCTTAGGGTAGACAGTCTATAGGTTTGGACGAATGTATAATCTGCCATTATGGCAGTGGAGTTCTGTCATTACTCCAAAAATTCTCTGTGCTCTGCTTACTCATCTCTCCTCCACATCCCAACCCCTACCCCCAATAAGTCTGTAAAGACAAGTGATGAATTAATTATTAAACAAGAAGTTTAGGTTACCTCAAATACCCTGTGCTTGAAAGCTGTCAGGACCCAGTCTTCTGAGGTCCCCATACATGTTGTGCTCATTCTGGTCCTGGTGTCTCTACTTAGGCAATTCTTCCTACTTGATTCATGTGGATTTCTTTCTCTAATTTAATTTCTGTAGCAGTTCTAGAATTTAGCACTTACTTATATATTGTTTGGTATTATTCTCTAATTGTCACATGCTATCTCATATCCCTGAAGAGCAGCCTCAACCAAGGTTGTATCTTATATTCTAGGTCTGGGAACATAGTAGATAATAGGGTGGGAGCTGATTCACTAGACTTTGACTCTACAATTGCTCCAGATGACATTTCCTGAACCACTGAGGAGTAGTTATTTGAGACTTACTGATTTTGTTTTGTTTTAATTTTTATTTATTTATGATAGTCACAGAGAGAGAGAGAGAGAGACAGAGACATAGGCAGAGGGAGAAGCAGGCTCCATGCACCGGGAGCCCGACGTGGGACTCGATCCCGGGTCCCCAGGATCGCACCCTGGGCCAAAGGCAGGCGCCAAACCGCTGCGCCACCCAGGGATCCCGAGACTTACTGATTTTGTATGCTCAGGTCTTGGTGCAATGACTGGTGGGGGCTCATTGTCATCATCTTCTTCTTCTTCTTCTTCATCTTCTTCTTCAGACACAGGAGGAGCCAAAGGCGGCTCTGATGCTGTTTTTGTACTCTTGTGACAAAAACAAAGTTTAGAGACCAGGTATTAACTCTTCATTGTTTTTCTTCAGAAACAAGAAAAGGGAAATAAAATATTTAATCATGTAGGGACATGAGAAAACCGCACCTTTTAGAAATGAGCAGAACCATCTACAGTTTGGTGATCAGGACTGCTCACATTCAGAGGTAAATTCAGGTCATGGTTTATAAACATCATGAAAATTTTAAAGATCTTTTCATTTTCCACTGAGCTCAGAAACAGTGAGCTATTCATTTAATATTTGCAAGTTCAATGTTTTTGAAATCAATGAATAATATCTTTTTAAAATGCTATGAAAGTCTTCAATTTGTACTGGGCAGATTGTCAATTCGTTGATTGATAGTTTGTCAACCAGAAAAGGGCTATTTTGTGCCTAAAGATCAGAGCATGCATATGGATATGGTATTAACACAGCTCTGCAAATACTCACTAAGTACAAGCAAGCCCATAAATGTTGCTTCCCTGTTCAGCCTCCTGGAAAGAAGCACTCAGAAAGTAACAGACATGAAGATCTAAGGAATATTCATCAACATAATTATTCAGTCTTAACCAACAGGTATAAATGGTGATTTGCAATGCTAAAAACTGCTACACCACCACTACCACCACCAAAAGTAACAACGATCATAGTATCTAGGATGGATTCTTATCATTCATATTTATGCAGGGCTTAAATTGTCCCAAAGCTGAATTTTGAAAGAACTATGACCACAGTTCTCAAAGTAAGTGTGGTCCCCAGACCAGCATCATCACAGGGAACTTGTTAGAAATGCAAATTCTTGGGTTCTATCCACACTAATGAATCATAACTCTGCAAGTGAGGCCTGATAGTATGTTATGACAAGCCTTCCAGGTGATTCCGGTTCAGGTTCAAGTTTAAAAATCACTGAACAATGACACAGGTCTGTGCTGTCCAATATGGCAGCCACAAGCTGTCCATAGTTAATGAGCAGTTACATGTGCTATAACTTAAGTGGGTACTAAGTTTAAAATACATACCAGATGTTAAATATGAAAAAAAGTTGTAAAATAGTTCCTTAGTGAAAGACATTTCCTTTTATGTTGTGTATATGTTGAAATGACAGAATTTTGAGTACACTGGGTTCCATAAAATATCATTAAAATTAATTTCACCTTTTTCTTTTTACTTTTTTTTTCAGTGTGGCTACTAGAAAATGTAAAGTTACATATATACCTTTTATGACATTGATTCTGTTGGAAAGGACTATTAAAGATTTTTTAATTTTTATTTTGTGTGTGTGTATGTGTTTATATTTGTATTCTGTTGACACCTTTGGGTATACTGGCTCAAGCTAATTCTAAAAAGAATTTTCATTTCTTGAGGACAAAGCTCCTGAGGTAGATACAGGGAGCCTACTAATACACTATTAAATCAAAGGACCTCAGCCTATGATTAAAATTCAACATGGATTTTCTACAATCATGTATAAACTGATGGAAGATCCATAAGGTGTAATCATATATCTAATCAGAGACAGCAAGATTTATCTACTGTGATAAGGAAGATAACTTAGAATTTATAAGAAAGTATTTGAAAGAATATTTGCTTGCCCTGATATAAATACTGAATGGTTTACAGACTGAAATTTATATGCTTAGTTAATATTGGTTTTCTTATGTATACACCTATATTTATTCTTAATTTGGCCAAAATACCTACACTATTATATTGTACTGTGGCTGTGTAGAAAGAAACATGTGTCAATGACATTGAGGTTTTAGAAAAAAAAATCCATTTCTTCTTTGAAAGACTAACTCTTCAGAGCACTAGAAATTGCCCTTAGGTTATTGGTGTTTGCTTTGAGATTATTCTGTTCCAGAAAATTCTGCTCTCTTATGCCAGCGGGGATCAAGAATGCACCTAATCACTGTTCACTGGTAGAACGGTAGAACCTGCATATAAACTGGCTACCTTTTATATGGTAAAGCTATCTTACAGGCAAGTATTATATAATACTATATATTATATATAGGCAGGCAATATAAATATAAACCATGCCTAGAGTAGTTAGCTTTACCCAGGTTTATGAAAATATCTGAAGTAAGAAATAAATCATTGCCTCCAAAATGTGACAAAAAACTATAAAGTCTAAAGCAATTAATGTCTAATTACATGTCTATGAAGAATAACTATAGGTCAACTTCACTTCGTGACTTCTATTTAGTAGTCATGGAAATTTCATTAATTAAAAACCAAATTGTAGATTAGATTGTCTTCTTCAGCAATAGCTCTTGAGTTGTCAAAATGATTTCCAATAAATTATACCTAACCAAAAATGTAATGTTACTTATAATCAAATAATTTCAAAATCAATATTAAAAAATCACTTAAAAAAGTTCATAGCAAAAAATTAATTGGGGTAGAGGAGCCCTTTAATATATTTGATACAATGCATCATGTGGCCTCCATAAATGAGAGTATATGTATTGCCTATAAGGATCTGAAAATTGCCCTGGTGGCAAATATAATGGGCCTAGGTCTAGGCTTCTCAGACTGGTACAAAAACCAATCAGACTGGTAGTACTGACCAAAAGGTAACCTGGCACATCTCAATTGTTGCTATTTCACTAAAGAAGATCCACCTGCAAAACTTCACTGTTTAGTATTCGTTACTATCCTCACTATTCTCATTTCATATGGGAGACATTCTGCATCCCCGAGGATGGTCTAAGGGACTGTTAGAAAAACTAGCATCTTTCATCTTCTGAAGGTTTGTAGGGGAGGAGGGTTGGTTGGAAAGAATGCGTGGCCTTCAGTGGACATTGTGTTTTGCATGGTAGTCAGGCCAGAGAGCATTAGCTTATCTAGAACACACCTAGAACACCAGGCGTTGGCACTGAGAACTGAAATCCGCATTATTTCCTGGCCCTGTATTGAGTAAGACCAGGACCAGCATACTTCTCCATCCCTGTGTAAATAATACTGGGGCTAGGCATACTTTCTTTTCCCTGTGTTACACAGCATCAAATGAGAGTATATTTTCCTGTTTTTATGTTAATACTGAGAACAAGCAAAAATAGCAACTTCTTACTTCATGAAATGCTTGTTCTTGGAAGATAAGACTGAACCAGCTGAAGTATTTTACTTGGTACGAATAACAGCTTGCTCACCAAGACTCTCTTGAAGTCTCTCACTTCACCAATCTAAAGTGATTTAATCATAAACACTGCACAATCCTAACCTGTTCCTTGTCTTGTAAGACCTGCTTTAAAATCACATAGCCATAGGGCAACTGGGTGGCTCAGTCGGTTAAGTGTCTGACTCTGGATTTCCGCTCAGTTCACAATCTCAGGGTCCTGAGATCGAGCCCTGCATGGAGCTCCACACTCAGTGGGGAGTCTGCTTCTCTCTCTCCCTCTGCCTCTGCCCCTCCCCCTGCACTCTCTCTCTCAAATAAATAAATGAATTTTTAAAAATAAAATAAAATCACATAGCCAATCGCTAAAACCGTGTAAAGTTTCTCCCCGGACATCTCCTTTTTAAGACACTGCTAAAACCCTCTAAAGGGAGGGCTCTTTCTTGGTGCTAAAGTTTAATAAACAGCTTTGCTTATTAACAGGTTTTGCTGGTGGTCTTTTTGGGAGCCACAGTATAATATTGCTACACTCTTCCTTCTAGGTTGAGATTACTATAACTGTCTAAGCTTGAAAAAAATATAGATACTTTGGTTGCTCTTCAGATGATAACCAGAGGGGAGGGCAGTGGGGGATGGGTGAAACAGGTGATGGGGATTAAGTAGTGCACTTGTCATGATGAGCGCTGGGTGCTATATGGAAGTGTTGAATCACTGCATTGTACACCTGAAACTAATATAAATTATACTGTATGTTAACCGTCTGGAATTTAAATAAAAATTCAAAAATAAATCAAAAAAACCCAAAAAGGAAAAAATAGATGAACAGCAAGTAAAAAAATTTTTTGTCTTATTAAAAATCTGGGATATGTTTCTTGTGCCACACAGTGGGGCAAGGGAGGTGATTCTCTACTTGAGCAGGATCCTGGGGTCTTTTAGAATTCTGAAGTGTTTGGACAATCTCTTCAGAAAAATACAGGTAGGTATATGCTTTTCCATATAATTTCAAGGGCTCATAGATTGTAGGAAGCCCATCCATACAGACTATAAGTTATTAAACCCTGCTATAGAGCATATACTAGCTAGAGGAATTACCTTAGGAAACTCTTCTTTCTTTGAGCTTCATTGATAATGGTCAAAGGAATTAGAAGTAAGGACCTTGGAGGCTCTAGATAATGCAAAGTGTGGTCTGTGGGCCACTTTTCAAAGGAGCTTAAGATTCAGATTTCAGGGCTCCATTCCATTTTGACTTGCACACTGTCCAGGCAATTTTGACACATACTGAAGTAAAAGGACCACTAATATAGATGAACAAAATAAATGCATACTTCAAATCAAAAGCTCAATCTGTGTCAACTGTACAAGTAGCCTAAAATTGAAGAGTAGGTCCCTGGACAGTATTTAGTGTTTAATACACTCATACCAAAGAAACTACCATGAGTGAGCAGTAAACTAGATGTCACAGGATTATGGGAGGTATTGCTGAATTCAATATTAGTTATGTGGTCATTAGTTTAAAATATTTAGTGAATAAACTGCTTCTATGTTAATTCCCACCCAGGCCACTAGAGGACACCAAAACTGATCGGTTTAGGTTATGTCGATTAGGGATAGTCCAATCCCATTAAATCAGATCTTATGGGATAGCTAGGTCTACTTAGGAGTGTTTCTAATGCAAGAAAGCATAAGCAGTGTCAAGTGCAATCTCCCCCTGGAACCATAAGGAGAGCACAAGGTGCTTTCAATTGTCCATTCCTAAGTAGCTGAGTCCCACTGAAGAGGTCCAATCTAAATTTGAGCGTCTAATCCAGTTCATTCGATCAATACAAACCCAGCCTTAGTTAAGCGGTTTAGTTAACAACTACACCTGGAAATCCT